AGTAAAAATATTGCTTCTAAGTGAAGTTCATTTGAACAGAATAAGATTGAGCCAAATCTAAATAAACAGAATAAATAAAGAATAATTTTTTACCAATTTTACACATTCCTTTTAAGTAATCCATTCAGCAGATTTTAGATAACATTCTTTTCATCTTTCTTGATTTCGATTCTGTCTCCTCCTCTAAATTCTAAATTAATAACAGCATCCTATATTGTGCATATTAACAGCATAATTGACGATAACAAAATATTATAAGTTAAAATAAATAAATATCTTTAATTGCCTTTGAAATTAATTTTGTGCTAATAATTTTGCTAGTATATTTCATCAGAATGCTTTGGTATTGGCAATGATTTATTAACTTTATCAGCATCTAAGAATTGCTTTTTAATTTGAATTAGCTATCTTCATAAGCCCTATTGTACTATAAATATCCCCAGCGCTGGGTCATTTTTGCGGATCAGAATTTATGTATTCTTCAACCAATTCAATATAGCTTTTAGGAGTTTCAGCTGTAAACTCTGGTCATGATCTTTTGCAAATTTCTACTGCATGTTTTAAATTAAATTCATGTTTATTAAAAGGTCTTTGACCAGTTGATATTTTTGCCATAATTATACCAAACCTATAAATATCTGCTGCCTGTATAAACTGCTACTCGCCTAATAAAACTTCAGAAGCAACATAGGGTATAATTCTATAAACTTCGCTAGTTGAAACTTTCTCATCTATTTTTTTAGACAATCCCAAATCTGCGATATAGAGTTGTGTATTTTCATAAGTGCGTCGATCCTGCAAAATTTTACCACTATGAAAATCTGTATAGATGTACCCTATATTTTCATGAATCATTCACAGTATCTTTAAGTATTTGTAATTTAGTCTGCCATGTAAGACTAATAAAATTTATTCTTAAATATTTATGAAAACTTCCATTAATCTTTTGTTTCTGTGTTTTGGGTTATTCTATATATTGCGAGCTTAGTAGTAAAATGCACTACTCCTGCTTGTTAGTTTAATTAGATAGATGTAGAGGGATTTCCAACTCTATAGCACCGGGCTTTGTCTCAGTCTTTTTTTAGAATCTGAAACTAACTAACTTTGTTTAACCTTTCTTGAGCTATTTTAAAAAACTTTTCTTCTTTCTCAACTCCAATGAAATTTTGTCCTAATCTTTTTGCCTGTGCTACTGAGGCTTTGTTAAATGACAAAATTAAGCTAGAAAAAGTAATTGGAGAAGCGTTTGATTTAATTTATAATGGTGAAAAATTATTAAGTGGAAGTCTACGTATTTATCAATGAGGTCAAAAAGAGTTTAGAGCTATAGAACACTCTCAAAAGAGTTATTCTTGTCTTTACAAAAAGCATAAATGAGAGATTGAAAAAAGGGTTTGGTGGCTAAAAGGCTGTCATGTTAATGACAACAGATGCTTCAAGAAACCCTTTGTAAGATTTGTTAAATTTAATTTTGTTTTTTATATTCATACTCTACCAATTCAATAATCTCACTGGTCGCTGCCCCCTAATTGTCCCTGACTATAATGTAATTATATTCAATAAGACTTTTATTAAATGATGAATTAATTTAATAAACTATTAAAAAAATTATCAAAGCAATAAATTAACTTACTTTTTATTGTTTTCCTTTGACGTCTTGAGTGCAACAGTGCTAATAGTTCATGTGCTCTTTGGTAAATTTTTCAACTTTTCGTATGCTATCCAACCAGGTTGCTAAATATACAGAACTAAATCTGCCTTTACCGATTTTTTTAACATTAGATAATTTATTAAATGGTCTATTCAATTGCATCTTCATATTTCCAGCCCAAGTTGGAATACTTTTATGCAATCATCAATATTTTTTTAAAATAAGCTATAAATATAAATAAAAATCAACATACCATTTATAAGATTTATCTTGACACCAAATCCATAATAATAAATTGCAGTTTTTCGAATTCCTATCCCTTAAATTGTTTTGCAGCCAAATTTGCTTGCAAACTTTTTTAAATTTTAAATTTTTCTAATAAAATTTTAA